ATATAAATTTGGCGGAACAAATTTATACGCCTATAATATAACTTCCAAAAATAGAGCAATATCCGACCAATAAAAGTAGCCAACACTCGCATGAGTTGACAGTTAATGAACTGAATGGTGTCATAAATTACAAATCTATTCCCTTAGATATTCGCAATAAGAAATAAATGAATTTCAATGACCGCCTCTACTACCAGAGTAATTAAACACAGGCATTTTTTTGCTATTACGTCATCATAATTCAAGTTGAGTACCTACACAAAACCAAGTCCGAACAAGCCTCATTAACTCATTGTTCAACCCTCGGGATGAATTAGGTATGCTGACAAGTATAACATTCGAAATTACATACCTACACTGTTATAATGTAACTCTAATACACACAGATAAGTTATAATTTACCTCTACGAATTTGGCAGATGTATGTGCTGAAAGGTTTGTTCCTGTTGTCATTAAATGGTCATTCAAATTACCCACCTGTCATTTCAATAAAAGGAAGCGTTCCTTGGGGCTTAGTGCTGGTCGTATGATTTAGTTAACAGAAATGAACACTGGACCATCGCTATCTACCCTCATTTACATCCCCTTGATGCTTTCATCTTGCACCGTTTACCCTTCTGTTGTCATGTCTCATTCACAATTATTTTAAGCGTTACCGACTTTTTCATCACGCCTGCTTCATACCTCCTTTCACTTTTGAATATTATTGATTCTTTCTTTACGCTTCGGTCACGGTTCCTCCCTTCTCGTCACCTTTTTAGATCTCATTTATCTTCTCCTTCATGTCTATTTTCACCGCGCCCTTTCAATTCTCCTGTACGCTTTCTTTCTCCCTTCTTCGCAGCTCTTTCACGACTCCGTCCTTAATGCTTTCTTTCTTTACGCTTGATTTACGCCTCCTCTTTCAACTCTCGTTTAATCCACTTTGTTCATCTTTTTTTGTCTCCCAAATTCTTTCTTCACGCTGCATGTACAGTCCCTTAAGGCCTTCTATTTCACGTTTTCTTTCATGCCACTTAAGCCTCCTGATTCACGCATCATCACCTCGTTTACGCTTATTCAAAACTGATGAAATTTCCGCTTCGTAAGTATTACAGTCCTCCTCCTCGGCCTCTTATCGTGATCGGATACAATTCGTTATATCCCAAGAACAGATTGTCGGAGAGTATTCACAAAGGACGTTTGTGACGTCTGGAAGAAATAAATCCATTGATAACGTCAAAACTTTATCAGCTAATATTACTCACAAAGGCAAAATTAATCGTCTGGACGAAACATATTTATTGGTAAAGTCGTAGCAAATATCTTGAGACCGTTATGGGTGCCATAGAATCTTCTAATTTTGACATGGCACTACTTAGGACAAGTGATCCAGAGTCTCATTCTCAAGTGAAAAGGAACCCGCTGCAACGGAATCTAACTAAAGCTTCTTTCGCCGCTATTACTAATAAAACTACCAACGGTACAGCAATAAGTGCTGCTCATTCCAGACACAGACAAACCGTCCTTTAATAAGTGTCGGAAGAGGGTACTCATAAAGAGCAAGTGGAACGTGAGGACCAGATATAGATACTGGTGATGTCAAAACAAATATCTGCAGAAAGGTGTCGGAGGAGGGTAACCTAAAAGGGCGGAAAGATCCTCTTGACGAGACACTGGCGACGTAAACTCTGAATTGTGTATATCTCGAAGATGTTGTTATGTGTACACGCCGTATATGTCCCAACTTTGCGAATTTATCAAAGCTCGCAGACACCGGGCTTATTTTGGCTTTTTCTTCCCTTTCAACACGAGTAGTATTACTCGCTTAATATGCACCCATAAAACCAAGAAAACGCATTCCGCAAGAGACAACATACTAGGGTAGTACTAAGAAAGAGGTTTTAAGCACAAATATCTTCAAGTTTTGGCTTTGTGAAATCGACCGGCGTAGACTTGGCACTGCGTAATGCTGCTTTCCCACTATTTACACTTATATTTACAGGTATCGCCCTAGTAAAATCTGACACAATACAATCTTTCAACGATGGATTGTTTATATACCTGCTTCGCGAAATAAGAACTGTTTCACACCTTTGTGCACTATGTAAGGGTAAGAATTGTGGACAATTCTTACAGCATCAAAAAAGGCATATTTGTGTTTATTATTTAGGATTTTAAACTGCACTATAAACTGTCCATACTTATTAAGAAATATAAACATTAATGTGCCATCGAGAACATTACGTAGTGCACCTATATTTTATGTACCTTATCATAAAACCAAATATGGACAATCATCTCCCATTTCTAGGATGTGCACCACAGCCAACACTCTATGCAAAAATTTCAGTTTCTTGGGTTTACCTATATCTTTATTTAAAAAATTATTATTTATAGAAAATAGATATGTCTTAGAGTAACAATATTTAGTTTTATACTTCCACCTTGTATATCGTTTGCGTTAGTTTTAAGTAGTTATTTAGTTTTTATTTAGTTTTTCCATTACGTAACCCTTCATATATTATTTCTATCTTTTATATCTATTGTAAGTTATATATCTCATAGTTGTTTGACTCGATTGTAGGATGATTCGCCCCCGAAAATTCGCCCCGGTAAATTCGCCCCCGGAATATTCGCCCCCAAGAAAACTCGCCCCCAAGTAAATTCGCCCCCGGACTATTCGCCCCAGAAAGATTCGCCCCGGAAAATTCGCCCCCAAGAAAACTCGCCCCCAAGTAAATTCGCCTCCGGACTATTCGCCTCCGTAAGATTCGCCCCGGAAAATTCGCCCCCGGCAAATTCGCCCCCGACAAATTCGCCCCCGGTGATTCCGTTCCCGTAGGATTCGCCCCATAAGATTTATTAATCCTTGGAGGTAACAAGGCCAGCAGTTCATAAAATGAATGTTGTTTAATTTTAATTTTTTTTTGTAATAACTGTGTATATAAAGGGGGTAGAATAATAGCACTCAAATAGCTGTTAACTAAAATATGAATAGGTAATTAAGATAAGGTTGAATAAAGTAAATACAAAAATCTGAAAATCAAACTGACAACAGCAAAAAAGGAACTCTTATAGCATCAGTAACCCGTATTGTCATTTTTATACTTACATAATAATAGGACATTTTAAAACTTTTATGGCATTTGCACATTTTTTACCAAAATTCTCAAATTTAAGGCTGATCCGACGGGCTGAATTTGGAACGAGTACAAGAGTACCGTATAGCAGACTAATTACTACTTCACTTCACTACTAATTACTACTTCACTAATAAATATATAACTTTTTTTTATATTTTAAAGAAATGGGATGTTTCGAGTTAGATTTTTTTAGAATATTTTAATTATGATTTGATACTTCAGCAAACTTCATCAATGTTGGTTTTTTTCAACACAAATTTACATCAAATCTGAGCCAATTTTCAAATGTAAGTCTAAAGAAAGAATCATCCTTTGTTTATACATTGATGCCAAAAACATTTCAATACATCCATAAATGGCTGAGTAATTAGATTCCTTTGTAAACGCAATTTGTTGTAAAATGTATTGTAAACATACGGTTGACGTTGAACCGTTGAGAGACGAATAGACGATTGAATATGAACAATTTCGAGTTGTCAGTCTCGCCGTATTGAGTTCCAAATATCGTAATTTTTGCAAATATTTATTTAATTAATTTAAACCAACCTATTACTTCCGAGGGTTAATAAATGTTATGGGGCGAATGCTACGGAGGCGAATTTGTCGGGGCGAATATTCCGGGGGCGAATTTGTCGGGGCGAATATTCCGGGGGCGAATTTGTCGGGGCGAATATTCCGGGGGCGAATTTACTTGGGGCGAATATTCCGGGGGCGAATTTACTTGGGGGCGAATATTCCGGGGGCGAATTTACTTGGGGGCGAATATTCCGGGGGCGAATTTTCGGGGGCGAATTTACCGGGGCGAGTCTTCCGGGGCGAATTTACCGCACACCGTTTGACTCACTTACGCACTGCTCTCCACGTTTCATTTTTCTTATATGTATTAATGTGTTTTTTTTCTCTTTGTTATATAATGGGAAACCGTAAATAAATAAACAAATAAATAAATGAAAGCTTCTATAAAGCTGTACATTTTGGGAGTTTTATAGGCGTACCTGCTATTATACCTTACTATTGAATAAAAAATGTATTCAATGACCTTACCCTTATTCGTGGGTAATTATTATTCACCTGATTTTTTTATAATATAATGTATCTACTAAATTCATGTCGCATGTTCTTTTAGAGAACTATTTAACAAAAATTATTTCTGTCGATTGTTCGTGGGAGAAACGCAAAACGTAGGTTAACATTAACTAAAACATTTTTAATGATAATGACGCAATTTTAGAACATTATTTTCGATATTAATAAAAAATATTCAATGGGTTTACAATAGATGCTTGACACCTTTTTGGCTAATGCAAAATCCATGTAGTATTTAATATTCAACTCGTCGACACACAATCTTTTTCCATTGCGATTTTTAGTATCTGTGTGTAGTTGGTGTACATTTCGTACTATTTAATGTTGTTTTTGGTTAATGAAAGTTAAACAATAACTCCGATACAGCATTGTTCATATTTTTATGAAATGATGTATACCTACAGTTCAGATACATTTACTCTTTGTATCTACCCCAAAAGCATTATTCTGATACATTTTAAGTTCATGCAAAATACAGACTTTTACATGGCTGCCATGTCATTGTAAATATTGACATTTTCACATTTTTTCCTTTCAACTTCGCTAGATCATTCTTATGGCTAGATGCAGCGTGCACGTCATTGTATGACTGTAGACAATAGATTTTTTTATCCTATCCACGTATTCAGAACTGTTAGCACAAAATGTGTTCATGCTACAACCTGTGTACCAAATTTGTATGGAAATTTTGTTTAAAAAGTATAATGATACCACAACATACAACGCTAATTATCATAGAAATTAGGTCTCAACATCCACAAGAGACTGAATTTGCAATTTTTGTTACAGCGGCACGAGTGAACGAATCTTGCACCTTTAACGAACAATGCGAATATTTAAATTCTGTAACTACCTGCAGAGATGGATTATGCACTTGTAAATTCGACCGTCAGCCGATTATACACCCCGATGGAAGGAGCGAGTGTATAGGTAATTATTGAACATTGACAATTTCCTCAGAGTTTAATATCTCATTTCAGTTATTGAAAACACATCAAACGACGAATTTGTTGCACCTACGATGATAGGAATTTTAGTTGCGATGGCCGTAATGTTCATCATTATATGCATCGTTTTCCGGTTATTTAGCAAGTAAGTTTTATAATAATTCTATAGACCGCTTCCGAAAAGAGATGCGGTCGATCAATTAATTTAGTTCGGTTTTGTGCTGGTCCGTACAAGTAATTAATTAAATTAAGCTATGGACTGGTATTATAGCTACCATTAGCGATTATTTCATAACTCCCAGTCCAATTTTCCATTTATTAAATTACCGCCGACATAGCTAGCTAGGTGTGAATTTATACTAAATTCAATGGCATAACTAGATACAATGGCCCGGATGACATTTTCATTTATGTTCATTTTTATGCACATTTTTATTCGATTTATCAAATGTTCTCCTCGCTTCATAAGTCCCGCGTTTATTATTATTCGTAGGTGGGAACATTATCAATATTTAATTCATTCTTGTGCATCTATGCAAAACGAAGTTGCATTAAAACGACCAGAGATAATAATTTATACAAAAGGGGTGGGATAGTGAATAAATTATTTATTAGCAGAGGAAGTAATTTTGCAATATTTTCTTAATCATACTTCCCTTAAGAGCATCACAATTTGTTTATTGTTTAAAAAGTCACTCTCTTGTTGGCTCTTGAGAAAACAGTACTATTCTTGAAGACATGTTTGCTTTTTCTATACTAATTTGTTCAATTAATAGTTATTTATTATATAAGACGATAAAGGGATGTTTTAACAATAACCATCCGAGATGGTTAGTTTCCATTTATCGTCGTGTATAATACAAAACTTGAGAATAGAAAACTCAAGAATATCAAGCTTAGGTTCTGCCGTCGCAGTTGTTTCCATAGAACCAGATTGTATTATGTTCTAAACTTTAATTTATTTCGTGCGCCGCGTCTCATTTGAAATAAGAATGACAGATTTTATTCACAATCATCTGTTTCACTTTATCTACTAAAATGAACACTTTACCTTAGAGTTAAAGAGCGATTTCTACTCATTCAAACCTATTAAAATGTCAATTTAACATCTGATATAAAATTCTTTGGGATGGTTCCGAAAAGACGGATTTATTTACTAATTTTATATATGAATTATCTTAACCTTTGCCACCTTACCCCTGAGATCGTCTAGGAACCCTGAAAATGAACTCGCTATGATTGGATCGAAATTTCCTTGCACATCATTACCGCGTCAATTCTTTTTTTAGTAATAATTTGGAAATTTGGCTTAGTTTCTGGTCAACGGAATCCATGGCGCTGTCTTATTTCGTGCGTACAGGGGCGATCTGGTAACTGGCGACTGCATGTTCGAATACACTATCCGCTAAATCTGTCACCTCTTCAAGCTGGGTGTTTTTCTTGTTTCCCAGGATAATCTGTACCTATATTCCTGGGGATAAGGCTTATCCACAAGGTCTTTAGAAGTTAGCCGCAGATGGCGAAGGAATTATGACGGCTTGCGCTCCCCCAACTCTTCTCTCTCCGGGAAACGTCGGAGGTCTCCACTGAAAATTACTATTTTCATAAGAAAGGACTGGTAAATTCAACCTGCCCGGGCACAACGCCCTTGGGAGTGTAGTGGGAAGATAATTAAACAAATCTTTTAATTTTGATTATTCCACAAAATCTTCCATTTCGTCAGATCCGTCTGTTCCAGTTCTTCATACCCTAATACATTTCTTTACTTCAGATTTTTCAAGTTCTTTGCAGTCTTCGTTCTGTTAGATACTACAGACTTTTCAGATTCTTAAGTTTCTAGTTCATCAACTTCAAACTTCAAAATCTTTGATTTCTTCAAATTTTTAGCGCATTTTTGAAACAATACGCCATTATATTCGTTATGGCTGGCTGGCTGGCTGTTCGATTGAGATCTCAGCAATTACAATAGCTAGAGACTTCAAGTTTTTACTAAAAGCTTTCTGCTATAGTGTTGATGTGCAGGATCTAGTTTATTTTGAGTTAGATTACTCATGAGATAGATAATTTTAAACTTCGCTAATAAAATACTGATCGGTATTACCAAAAATGCGCTTTCATCATGCATATGCTGATTACAACTTGTTTTATTACTTGGGAAGCTAACCATTTTTCACATTCAAATTGTTCGAATTTTATGTTTCTTTAAAAATTGTAGTTATAGGTAACTTTGTATTTCATTCAATTAATTTCAGCTTCTTCAGATTCTTCGAGTTCTTCAGACTCCACAAATCCATCAGACCTTTGAAATCCCAGCACTGCATATCCTTCAGTTTTTCCCTGTTTTTCGATATTTCAAATTTTTCAGATTCATACGTCTCCGCGACATCCTCAATTCCTTACAATTCTTTGGGTCCTTTAAATTCTTCAATTTTTTTGTGTCAATTCTTCTTCCGATTCTTTAGATTTTTCAAATTGTGAAGACACTTAGAATTGAAATTCGTTAGTTTCTTCGACTTACTTAGATTCTTCAAACCTTTTTCGTTTAAACTTGCTACCCCCCTCCACCCAGGCAACAGAGTGCAGATCGCGATTATAACGGGCGATCAAAAATGAGTGACTGTCGAGTTTTTCCAAATAAACGAGACTCTTACTCGCTCAAGAGTAACAAAATTTGTGTTTCATTAATAATTTTTTTCTCAGCAACATTTTTTAGCAATCTTAATATGTAAAGAAATACATTGCAAATAATGGGTTACCTAAAAAAATTAAGTCAAGACTACCCTTAATTAACATTAATGCAATTAGTATTTCTGGGGGAGGGGGCGCATACGCACTATCTTACATCGAAGTGTACACCACCAGGAGCTGTTATTCTGCGTCCTTCTTTTTCACACGGAACAAGATACATATTACTCTCTCGCGCGCTATTTAAAATTGCGACAACCGTACTGTTGCGTGCGAAAGAGAAGGCCACAGCGTAACAGCTGCTCGTGGTGTACGCAGCGATGTAAGAGAGTGCGCATGCGCTCTCTCCATGTGATAGAAGCAGACAGATATATTAATTAGATTAATTTTAATGAAGGGTAGTTTTGCATTAATTTTTTAGGCAACCCATTTGCAATGTGGTTCTTTGCATATTAAGATTGCTAAAAAGTGTATTCACTCGGTAAACGGATAGGTAAAGGTTGACCTTATGTGGGATCTTAGACTATCTAAGATTTTTGAAAATTTTCCCAAAAATAAATGGGATATTCATATTGTCAAAAACGAAGTGGCGATCAGATTTTATTTCGTCCTCATTTAGGGCTGTGCAGAAAATGAACACCCTTAAACCAAATTTATTTACGACGGCAGTTGACGCAATATAATTGGATGTATTTCAATTTTGGCATTGCTCGGTTGGCTAAAATGTAAACTTGAATTTCTCAATATTGATTGTGTGTATGCGATAGTGTAGGGCACCCTGCGAGTCCGATTCCTCTACCACTATTAATTGGTATACTTTGAAAACAAAAAAAGCAATATTAGAGGGAGGCACCAGATGTTTAAGGCATGTTTTTGAAACACAATAATTAAGAAATTCACCCCGTTACATACACATCTTATTCCTTCAGTAGATAATTAAGACAATTGCTGAACACGGTTAACAAAATGTAGGTATCGATTTAGACCTTTTCAAACCTGATCACAGTAACAATAAATTTCACCTGGATCCATTTGAATTTCCAAATTTCACGTTTCTAGGTGGCAAAACATCAATTTTTCACACGTCCACTTTAGTAAACCGTTCTGGAAAAGTTTCATTCAATCACATCATACCCTCCAATAGCCACACTCGCGAACTAATCTGGGAATTGCGTACAACAAAGCAAGATTTATGTCCGAACTTTCCATCTTCTAAATGATAAATTTATAGCAGGCGCACTTACGTTTCTTGTAATCGTAGTGTTAGTTTTTAATTAAGGAGAAATGTTTTGTTGCAAACTGTTAAACAGACTGCCTGGCAGTAAGTGGCAATAACTAAAATTGCGAGTCTTACGTCGCAAAAGAGACAGTTCCGTTTAAATTTACGCACACCCATTTAACTTTCAATGGAATTATAGGTACATATTGAAAATACCCAACAAAATAGTCGTTACCTGCACGGAGCTTTTACGTTTTGAAAATATGTTAAAAAGAAAGCAAAAATCTTCATATAAATTCGTCTACGTATATTAATGAGTTTAAATGACGTACCAATAAATTACACACTTTGAGGGGTGTATTAAATCAGTACCCGAGTGTGTGGATTTCTTCTTCTTTTTGTTTTTTAAGGCATTCAAATTTCAAAAATTCTATTACTATTCTCGAACACAACTTTTGATTTGCGCATGCGCTGCTTTTAGGCGAAACATATTTGTGTTTCGACCAATTGCAGTTTTTTTAGAATTTTGAAAAACTAGGGATTTATTTTTATGCTGAAAACCAATCGTCAATGATATCAAAATCTTTTTTACCTCCTCGAATGAGTTTGACAAATCTAAAGTGAAAAAACTAGAAATGCCTATTCGGGTATAGTGTCATAAAAAAAAAGGAATTCTAATCTTGGGACTTTTTCGGAGTCCACGCTAATCATAACAATGAATACATCAAAGCAGCAATCTTCGGAAGGGTTGTAGGACAATTCGCACCCGGACATTTCGCACCAAGGAAAATTCGCACCAAAGATATTTCGCACCCGGACATTTCGCTCCCGGACATTTCGCACCAAGGAAAATTCGCACCCGGATAATTCGCACCGGAATAATTCGCACCAGAATTTCGCTCCCCTGAGAGGGTATTTTGTGTATGGTTGACTTTTAACATAGAATGTCGGCTGTGAAGTATTAAATTAACTCAGAGCTTGAAATCTCCAATATTACTCACCAATATCACGTTTTATTACTTTGTGCATGTAATAGACGTATACCTACATTTAAAATTTGGATACTTTCAATATTAAGGTATAATTTGGAATCGTGACGTCCATTTTGTGTTCAAACTCTAAATGGGATAATTTATTAATATTGAATAAAAGTTCTCTAAACCGTTCCCATATAATTTAATAAAACGAAGTGATACACTACATGTTTCGACCAACGGTCATCTTCAGGTGATCTACAAGAT